ACAGAAGGATTGTGATTTTTGCTCTTGCAGGATATAACTAGATCATCAAGCGTCACATTATATTTGCAGAGCCGATACGAGCTTAAATGATACTTGAGAAAAGTTTCTCCCACCTAAGGATGTAAGCAATATTTGTATTATTTCATGCTTGTACTCTTGTTTTGATATTTTGTACTACATCCTTAAAGGTAACCAAATGAGGAGATAAGGTCGTTCCGGAAGAACACCATGCAAAGGACCATTCAAGAAGAATGGCTTGTATCATTCTAATATGTATCCATGAATTATTAATGCAAATTTCACAGATTGCAAGTTGGATACATTGACAATACACTGCATAGATTAAAGTCCCATAAGGGCAGAACATGGGTATAGCAGTGATCAATATGATGCACGCCTGTTGCGTAGCAAATGATATGGATTGAAGTCCCGGAAGGACAATCCTTTGACATGTCAATATTAATACGGTGCACGCCTAATGCGTAGCAAATTATATGATTTAAAGTCCCAGAAGGACAATTGATTGACATGTATGTATTAATCTGTGGCATGCCTGCAGTATGACAGATATATGGGTTCTAAATGCTCCAACTCCCTAAATGGAGATTATCCACGCCCTCCTGTAAAGTAACGATCCATTGGAGGTTATAATCCACATTCTCACATAATAAAAGCCCCCTGAAGTGGCTTGGGTACCCAAAAGCAAAGAAATCCTTATAATTGATGCATGCGCATGCACATGGGAATGGTGGGATCATGAATTGATGAATGACAGTTTTTGGTTTTGGAGTAGCTACTCAAATCATCAATGGGCTGTGTTGATTGGAACCATGTTCTATTAATAAATGTCGACAATATCATTGGCCAAAATGGAAAGACACAATTCCATTACATATGAGAATGAACGTGAAAGAACAAACCCATAGTACGAACCCCAAAAGATGTTAATACTGATAGTTATACTTGGGTGTTTGGAATAAAAGCGAATATACCCTTTTTGTGTGACACAATGTTTCTGGCAGAAACTAGAAATGTTGGGTTTCTCCATATTTACAGAGGCAATTGTGCCTTCCTATTGCACATTTACGGAGACCAACATATTATCTTTAAGGGTTATTAAATGCACGGAGCATATCATCAGAAGCGATTCCCTAAAGATGTACAAATAGAACAAATAGCTGGATATAAAGCTATATAATGTGTCATAAAGTTTAATCCCTTAAATCCCTGAAGGATTAAAATTGTCATAAGCAAGTCTTTGAAGGACATGTGCCTGAAGCACAAAATCTGTACTCAATACTAATATATACAAATTGCCTCAATTAGTACACTAATTATAATATGGTTGCAACACATTACAACTCCCGAAGAGTTGATAATTGATTAAAACTCCTGAAGAGTTAATACTTAGTTAAAACTCCTGAAGAGTTCAGGAAATATTTGTCTTGGCCTGAAGATCGAGCATTATGCCAACGAGATTCTTGCTTATACTAAGAAAGTATTGAAGCATTTTTATGTGGGTAATCCGTTAGGCACTTAAATAATTTTTCGGAAGAATATTGGACTGGATATTATATTTTCCAGATAGAGCTCAGCTCCATCACCACCACTTTGGGATGATATGAGGCATATTTGATGCTATCTCCGCGTAAAATCATATACGGGCATATTCTTTTCAAGTGAACTTATAAGTAGCCCAAATTTTGTTGGATACGCGGACTCTGGAAATATCTATGGTTGCTTTCTGGAAAAGATTAGTCATAAAGATTTCAGGGGGAGATATTCTTCAGGGGGAGCATCCAACAATATTACAAGATTGACTCACAGAAGCAGCGTCAACTATGATATTCAAAGTATGATCAACAGTATGGCTTGAAGATATTTTTCCAAGCATCAGGGGGAGCGTGCTGTCAATAAAGACCTTCACACACTGTACTCTTTTTTCTTCGTCCAGGTTTTTATCCCACTGGGTTTTTCCTGGCAAGGTTTTAACGAGGCAGTGTCGCACGCGTGTCAATATACACAGAATTTTATGTTACACATGGTTATGTACTCTTTTCCCTTCGACCAGTTTTTTGTCCCACTGGGTTTTTATTGGCAAGGTTTTAACGAGGCATATTCCATACATGTGGTCTCCAAGGGGGAGTGTTGTAAAGTGAGAGATGAAGCCCACATGAGTAAAAGAGGGATGTTTTAGTCAAAAGATGAAATAATGATGTTGGATAGGAGAATGATGATGTCTCCCTCGTGACTCACAGGAGCCATTTGCCTTGTCTATAATTAGGCATCATTTTCTACTGGTAAATATACACAAACGAAGAAGACAGAGAGAAAGAATCAATGAAAATATCAGAGCATTTCTATTACAGCTCAATTTATCTAATTTCTCTCCACAATTTCTTTAGTTTTATAACAAAGAATCAATGAAAATATCAGAGCATTTCTATTACAGCTCAATTTATCTAATTTCTCTCCACAATTTCTTTAGTTTTATAACACTAACTTGTGCTTGAGCTACACATGAGCTTTCTTTGCAAAGGTGGGCCTAAAAACTTTTGAGTCCGTGTGGCATTTTTGTTGTTGTTGGATGAGTCCATGTGTTGATTTGGATATGAACCGATCCAAATACGGAGTTAGGAAGTTTAGGCGAGTCAAAGAAAGATAGCGACACCTACACGCTAGCTCTGAGTCTGAAGTGGTACTTTGGTTTGGAATACAACAATTTAAACGATTCTTGTGGGGAAAGCATTCTTCGTCGTGGAGGATTAGGAGCTTTGGAATGGGTATATTATTCCAGAATTATGACAACATTCTTTACAGCAACTTCAAACTGTTTACATTGTATGTCAACAGAACGATCATACAAAATTGATGGGGTTCCAAATTTCATTTCCTTCACAATTGTTAGGCAATAAAAAAGAAAGAAGATGTAAGTTGCTAGAAATTTGTGTACATTTTTCATTACAACAGGACATAAAAAAAAGGTTGAATCAGCTTGTACACACTCGTTTGAAATGATTCCAATTGATTCATACATCCAATATAATTGTAGAAATAGCACACACACACTCAGAGGTCAAATAGGGACAATTCATCTTACTTATATCAATCAAGCCTAAAACACAAGGTGTTAAGTATAAAACCACATTAAGGCTAAGCTCCCAAAAAGCATCTCCACTCCCAGCAATCTCTTTTCCAGGCTCACACCATCACTCTTTGGTTGAGCAACTGTACCATTGCTTGTAGAATTCCCTATTAACAGAAACCAAGCAGAATAAATACAACAGCTAAATGATGAAGAACTATTAAATTCTAAAAACTAAATCACCATTCACAAAAATTATACTTCAAGTTCAAAATTGGAAGCTTTAGATTATGCAGCTGGAAGAAGAAAATTTGATATACCACTGGCTATAGGGGCAGTGCTGCTAGCTGCAGTCTTGTTTGCATATTCCCTGAACATCTTAGCGTCCGGAGAGTTTGATGGCAAATTCAAGAGATCTGAATCCATCACCAACATCCAAAATGATCAAACTATTGTTCATAGTTAATCTAAGTATGTAAAACTTTAATATACAGAAATTTCTTAATTTATGTTTAGGGGCTTACCAACACATCTAGATATGTTAACAGGGACATGACAAGAAGTAGGAAGTTGTAATGCAAGAGTAGCATTGATCTTGAGGCCAAGATTCGGATCGTCGCGGTCCTTAATTAGGACACAGAGGCATTTCTTGCTCTTCTGCTCGACTCCTTTAATCCCAGTGCAACAGTCTATTGTGGGAGCTTTGGCATCACCACCTACATAAGGAAGGCATGGGGCAAGCCCTACTAGTTGGTCTGCACATTCCGCCCTATCTTGGTCTATGTTTGAGCTGCCAAAATCAAGTAGCAACATCAACACCAAGATGCTTGAGAGCGCCACACTCAGCTTCTTTGAGTTGCTCATTGTAATGCAGAAACAGATTACAGAAAAAAGAATGGCCTGTCTTGGAACAGATGCTTTCTGGTATTTATGTGTTTTCTTGGCTACCCTTTGGGCTTTAACGCATTTTGTGGAGAGATTTGGAAAGTGTTTGGGTAGTGGAGTAGCAATAATTGTGCAAGCTATTTGTAAAGTCCCGCTGGGGGAGGCTTCACATGTGAAGGACATTTTTTGTCCTCAAATGGCTAATGTCCTCTCACAGAGAGCACAAAATATCACATCCCTAAAACAAGAGAAAATAATAGACTCATCTCCAGTAGCGACCCTACCATTCGCGCAACTCCAATCCAAATGAACTAAACTTTTGTCCTAGCAATGTGACAAGGACCCTCCCCCCTAACAAGACAAGAAAAAAGAAAGAGTTTCAAAGTAACAAAACACTGGTGTGGTAGAAATCGTTGGAAGAATGTAACTCTTCATCGTATGTACGTACATAATAGGTGAATTACAGTGATTGTAATTTTTACTTAGAAGTATATGGTAGTGTCATATGGTTTTCTTTTTCCCTTATTTGTGCTCTATACATTTTAGCCAGATCTAGGACTACACAGGACGGTTAGGATCATTTCAGTTAGCTGAAAGATGAGTTGTTTAAGTGGATAAACAAAAGGGTACTTCATTGTCCTGTGCTGTATGTTCTTGTTGCAGCATCAATCTCTCAAATTCAGAAGCAGAAAACAAAAATGACAGACATTTAAGATATGCCTCGATTTTATTTCATTCAAGAACCATTATTTTCAACTAGTTTTTGGCAACTCGTGATAATCTGGATTAAATTTTTGTGTGAACCCGTGACCATTTCATTCATCCGTGATCAGATATTACTTAATTAAGGTTATGCAGACCCCAAAAGAAAAAGAAATCTTTCAGTCATATAATAATGTTAACATAAGTACAAGAAAAATAGGAAATAGAAGACAGAACTTACTTTATACCCCCACCAATATCCTTTTGGAGGCAGGCAGACAAATTTCCCTTTCACATTGATTCTAGCTTTGTGAACAAGAAAGTCACAAAGAGTCTTTGGACTTGTTCTGCTTTTCATAAATAAATTAGGATCACAACTCTTCCCCATGTGATAAAGCTCTACTATTTAGAACTTTGTTTCAACAAGCTCATGATGCAGTAAAAATTAAAAGTGATTTTCTTTCCAACAGTGCAATTTCATAAGTATCGCTTTTTCCAGGATGAATGCTTTAAAGTAAAATTTTAATAACAATCAAAAAGAACTTACAAGTTTTTTTTTTATACCTTTTTTATTGAGAATGGTGATAATATATTAAACTCACGCAAACTATATGGATGCTAGGACTCGAACTCAAAACCTTCCTGGAGGAGCATTTTCTAAGTTCTAACTTTACATGAAATATAAAGGAGAAAGGAAAACAAATAATTAGATTCATATTAAACAGAATCGAATGGGACCTTGTGCTGAAGTTATGGTGATCTAGACCTTTGATTAAAAGTGCAGTGATCATGTGGCTAGAAAAAAGTTGCAGAATTAAATGTGCCTTTGCCCCAAGTGATTTCTGGTTTAAGGTAGCTAATCTAAATGGATCACTCTCTCTATCAGTATTGTGCCAAGTGAATGGATCACAAAAAAAGTTTGTAAAGCATAAATCAAAACCATACCAGCACATAGGTGTTAGTTATAACTTATAAATCAGTGTGCTGTAACCATCTTCATTTTGGGACAGATTTCACCATTTATGATTTGAAATGATCCTGTCAACCTCATACTAAATCACTTCTCTTTTTGACAAGATATATATAATTATGCTGTGTTGTCCCATTTATAAGTAAATGGTAAGACTTGTCGATTATGGAAATTTTATTTTGTGCTACTTCAAATCATCAACAACAAACCTAGACTTGCAGAATGTCGTGTGCCTAAGGCAATTTTTTTTGTAGGGTACTTTCATTTAATAACCATAAATTTTTGTTTGAAATACATTTCTAATCATGTTGATGATGTATGGCATAATCTAATTATCTAACATGCATGAAAAGAAGTTATCAACCACAAAATTAGATGTAAACATTTGAAATGCATATCACCTCATGTTTTCGGTGAAGAAAATGGTGGCAAAGTGTGCAACCACTCCGAGCCGGAACTGTTTACGGTAAAGCTCTCCCCAGGGGATGTTTTTCACAAGCTGATTTTCAAATGCTGAACCTCAAAGAGTATCCAGCTAACATTCACCCAACTTGCAGGAACTAGCCGTATTTCCGCTAGACCAAACACCTCATGTTTTCATCTACACATAATGCATCTCAGATATGCATATATATATATATATATATATATATGATTAATGGTTGATCTCATCATGCAAGTCCTCATATTGAACTTCTCAATTTAAGTAACGTCAACAACATCAAACACGAGAACCAGTGATTTAAAAAAGTTGCTTATCTTTTTAGGCGCCTTTTGTCATATTTCCTTAAACTTAAAAGTTCGGCCACTATATAATATTTTAATATATATTATTTGTATTCAATAACGTGTATAATACGTGAATTTTGTTTGCATTATTGAAAATTTTGCAAAAAATAAGTGTATTAAACATGAAAAATACGTACGTACATGTTCAATATGAGTATTGTACATTTCCTTGTTTAAAAACGTGAATTTTACTGCATGGCTATACTATTTTTATTATAAAAAATTAGAAAAAAACCAATATAGCCGGACTTTTAAAAAATATTTCGAAATTTTTTTAAAAACCGTAGTAAAGCCGCGCGTCTATACTATTTAATCAAAGTTCGGCCACAATATAATATTTTAATATATATTATTTGTATTCAATAATGTGTATAATACATGAATATTGTGTGCATTATCGAAAATTTTGTAAAACATGTGTATTAAACATGAAAAATACGTACGTATATGTTCAATATGAGGATTGTACATTTTATTTTTTTTAAACGTGAATTTTACCATGCGGCTATACTAATTCTTTTTAAAACAAAATTGGAAAAATCCGAGTACAGCCGTGCGGCTATACTATTTCTTTTTTAAAAAAATAGTAAAAACAACGGCTATACTATTATTTATTTTAAATAAATTGGGGAAAACCGAGTATAGCCGCCCGGCTACACTGTTTCTGTTATAAAATGAATGCGAAATACAGTTACTTTTGAAAAATTTGGAAAAAGTATAGCCGCGCGGCGATACCATTTCTTTTATAAAAATTGGAAAAAACCAAGTATAGCCGTTTGGCGATACTCATAGAACAATACCGACATGTCGTCTGGTGTATGATAACTGAGACCTTCAAACGACATGCCGCAAAAACTCTTCCCGATTTCATTTTTCCAGTCTCTGCAATTCTATCTCCTTCTCCAAGCGTCGACCCCCACAACCTCTGCAACCAAATTCAAATGCCTCAGACCAAAACGTCACCGAAACTCCACCAAGAAACCACTGTAATCAAATCAGCAATCATATCTAGACTCATAGTCTTGACTCTGATCCTCCTATGGCGGACCCTCTTGAGCCCCTACGACACCTCCGCCCCGATCAACCCCAATTGCCTATCCAACAACTCCTCACAACCCAACGTTGATCTTCAACAACAACACGTTCTCTTGCCTTCTCTGGGTTCAGCTATTGAATCCAGCATTGTCTGGGATAGTGTTTACTTTGTTCGAATTGCACAATGTGGCTACGAGTACGAGCAGACCTATGCTTTCTTCCCCCTCCTTCCTCTTTGCATTTCACTGCTATCTCGCACAGGTTTGGTTCAGCTTTACCAGTTTTCAGCGATACCTATTTGGTAAATTTATTAGTTTTTTTCATTTTTAAGCAATACCCAGTTGGAAATTTGTCAACTTTAAGCATACCCACTTGGTGATTTTGTATCAGTTTGTTGATGTTTGAATGGGTGTTTTTGTGTTTTGAGGGAGTGCTTTGTGTTTCAGTTTTGGCGCCGTTGGTTCCAGTTATTGGGCAAAGAGCTGTATTGGGATTATCCGGCTTTGTGATCAATAACATTGCCTTTGTATTTGTGGCGGTTTATTTATACAGGTGATTTGGTTGCATTTTTCTAAATTCAATTTGACTCAGTAAATCTTTATTGGGATTAAAATTATTTGGTAGCTTCAATTTTTTTTTTCCCTACAATAATTAGCTTTACTTGCACCATTTTACAAATGAAAGTAAATACCTTTCATTCTATGAGAGCCTTATTCTCTGGCATTAGATTTTATTGATAATTGAAAAGAAAGAAAGAAGAGATATATCAGAATCCAGGGTGGAGAAATATAATCTTTAACCGCGACCAGGTGTGGCTATGAATTTGGAGGTTCTTAGGGGTGTACTTGCATATGATATGCTATGTGGTGCTGCACCATTGTAAGTTTTACTTTGTGTAGGACAGCACTGCCCCTAACTTAACCCTTTTTACTTACCACCCACTTGGTGCCAAGGAGATTTTCCTTTGACTACAAGTATCTACAACTGCTTAGCCACTGCTTCATTGTTCTGCGCTTAATAATTTATATTGACAATTTTTTTTTTGGGTTTTAAACTTTTGATCGCTGTTCTTTTGCTGTCACTTTAACAGGCTTTCAGTTGTTATTTTGAAGGATCATGAAGCAGCATTGAGAGCTTCAATTTTGTTTTGCTTCAACCCAGCTTCCATATTTTATTCATCAATGTAATTTTCTTTTCTTTTTCTTAATTCATCTGAATCGATACCTATGAAATTGAATTAAACTGAGGTCTTTTATGTGCTTTCTACTGCAGATATTCCGAGACTTTGTATGCCCTATTTTCAGTTGGAGGATTGTACCATCTAATATCTGGAAAAGATGTTATTGCTGTTCTTTGGTTTGCCCTCTCTGGATTTTCAAGGTCCAATGGAATCCTCAATGCTGGTTATTTCTGTTTTCAGACTATGCATCAGGCTTATGATGCTGTTTTCTTGAGAAAGCGTGCTTTTGTAGGTTCCAAATTTATCTTTCCTCTGTCATTGAAAACTGATACATATTAAAGACTAAGCTTCAATGTCCTGATTATCAGTCAGTTATTTTGTCTACCTAGTTCCATGAGATTAAGCTTCAATCTCCTGATTATCGGCTATTTATTTATGCCATTAGAATATTTTGTAGGAGTATGTCAATCATTTAGCACAAAGCACATTTTTCGTTTGTTTTTATGAAGAAGATGATCGCTTAATAAATTTCATTTCTATGCTAGTTGGCATTGCAGGTTGTTGTTGGTGGAGCACTGCGTTGTATATGTATTTTTGTTCCTTTTGTTGCATTTCAAGCCTATGGATACAACAATATCTGTCTTGGACATCTTCCAAATAATATGAGTCCCTGGTGCAAAGCAAGAGTACCTTTGCTGTACAATTATATTCAAAGTCATTACTGGTATTTTGATCTTTAACCACCAATGCTTATTCATCAGGCTATTACTCATTATTTCTCTTGTTTAGCTATAAAAAATTTGGAAGTGGAAAGAGTTATTTTTACAAATTTATACTTATATTGATGCTTTACCTTGATGGCAGGGGCGTCGGTTTCTTGAGATACTTCCAAGTTAAACAGTTACCAAACTTTCTGCTGGCATCGCCAATATTGTCTCTGACACTTTGGTCAATTGTCCATTACGCAAAGTTAAAGCCTGAAATTTTCTTCTCTTTGGGTTTCTGTGCTCCTCCTGAGTGTAAAGATTCTGCTGCTGTGTTCTTTTCTTTAGCAGGAAACTCTTCCAACAGTCAGGGTATTACTTCTAAACGGCACTGGTCTGTGATTCACTAGTTGACAACTTGACATAGTATTTCTGTCATTGACATGAGTTATTAATTACCTAAGTTTGGTATATTTATAGCCTATTCTGATAATATAATAATTTGTAGGTAGTAAACTATTAGCTTATTGTTGAAATGCGCCCAAGGGATTCATTCATTTAGGTTATCTTTTGTGATGTTTTGATCCTTCATATCTCCACTTTAGTATCTTGCACCTGTACTATGATCCTAATCAATATGTGTAGGCACATCTTGTTATATTATGTATGACCTAATCATTACTATGGGCATATTGTTTTTCTTCCATTTATGTTGCATTTCAAGACTGCATAATCAATCATTTGCAAATGTAACAGAAAATAGCAATCTCAAAGCAAGGAAGCAAGTGATCAAAGATGGTACATCTCTACTCCCAGAAGAATATAAACTATCAGCAAAGCAAGGATATTTGTCCGCTGCTGTACTTCCATGTATTCTACATTTGGGATTTATGGCAGCCACAGCATTTTTTGTCATGCATGTGGAGGTTTGACTTTATTTCCTCCTAAATTCCTTAATTTGCTAAACAATATTAAGTTAGCAATATGTGAGAAATGTTAAACATCACCTTAAATTATGGTTATCAGTATTCTCCTTGATTGGATCAATATAATTCTGTGAAAATAAATGACATGGAAAGTTTTCTTCTAAAAGATTGGTGTAAAGATGCTACCTTGTCACCAATAACAGTTCTATCTTCACTATGTATCACTACTTCTGATGCATCATATTTGACAGGTTGCGACTCGTTTCTTATCTTTCAGCCCTCCTCTGTATTGGTTTGCCTCGTATATAATGAAATCTCCTGGTACTGGTAAGAGATGGGGATATATAGTTTGGGCATACTCTGCGGCCTACATTCTTCTAGGAAGTTTGCTCTTTTCAAACTTCTATCCTTTCACTTGATAGTGTTCAGCAATGTGCTGGCGCAGATTGAATTTGCATACGAAAGGAGCTATATTAAATTGTTGTTTTATTGTTTGGGAAGTTCCCTGCTTACTATGTTTGGTTTCTTGCCCCTGTATCATGTATGTATGTATTGTGTGACTGGATTAATAGGTGGCATTTTTGTTCATTTTTATATGTTATATATAGGTGGCTTTCTTGATATTAACCTTGAGAGATCTGTAACAAGATTTGTGTTGTTGCTGCATAATTTCCTTTCCTTCTATCACCACTATGATAATGATTGAAGAAGCTATTCTTCCAGTATCTCTGTTGAAACAAAAATATTGTTTTCAAGAATAGTCATCGCTTATTTGAACGGTTAAACATAATTTTCTTTTCCCCACCGTATCATTAGAAGAATTAAAGTTTAGAATGAGATGCTTTTCATTAGCCAAAACCCCAAAAGAAAGTTTTGCTGCTGAGTGTACGTACTTCCTATCTACCACTTCTCTACTGTATCTTGAAATTTTAGGGTTCCTCATGTCTTTTTGGCCTGAGTGTTTCTCAGTACTTGTGTTATTGGGCTGCATGCAATACACAGAGCAGTCGTCAATCACACACAACAGGTTAAACAAAAATATTTTGTCTACAAATTTTTTAACTCTTTGACTAGTTTACATTCCCAAGTGGAGCTGAGCCGCTATTATCCCAAGTTTTTGTTCACCTTGTAGTGCGATGAAATCAAAAGGTCCGTGCTCTCACAATCATCCGCTTACATAAATTATTCGAGCCCTATCGATTGTACTGCGATGAATGATTGAAGACAGTATAAGATCACTAAGAGCAGTAATAAAATGCTTAGTGGTGAAAACGACGCTTTACTTTATGTAAAAAAATTTTTAAAAAAACCTAACATTTTCATGATTTGGTTATTAACTTATTAAGCTCATGGCTCCATTCACCACTTTTGTCTTGTGAGCTAGAAAGCTGCCACATATACAAATAATAGCTCAAATAATTCAATATATAAATACAAATACATATTTATAACAAATCCCATTTTTAGCATTATATAACACTAGAACCTATAAATTGAAAAAACTAAAAAAGGGCCAGTTGTCCTTTTTATAAATACAAATACATATTTATAACAAATCCCATTTTTAGCATTATATAACACTAGAACCTATAAATTGAAAAAACTAAAAACTAAAAACTAAAAAAGGGCCAGTTGTCCTTTTAAAAAAAAATTTAAATGATGTGTGAAATATCATTACAATCCTTGCAATATGATTTTCAGTGATAAACTTCGGTGGCAGTGTTGTAATTTTTTGGTTTTTCAAAGCTTGTATAGTACATTTGGTGTAATTCAAAAGCCAATTGAATTTTTCCCTAGAGTTTAAGTATTATAGAGTTTCTTTATAATTTAGGCCCCATTTATGGGCTTATATGTAAATCCTCTAAATAAAAATGGTCACATCATAAGTAACGAAACCAATGATTTAAGATTATTTTCTTCCTGCCAACAAGGTCTAGCCCAATGGAAAATGGCATTCACTTGCAGACCAGAGGTCTTAGGTTCAAAATTCCATGACATTTTAGTTGTGTGCATGTTTGTGAGAAATCGCCCTCTCATATAGTTTTGACTATCGCTTGTATTAAAAAAAAATGATTATTTTCTTCCTCTTGCCTTTTTCTTTTTCCAAGAATAGTAATTAAGTGATGGTGGGCTGGATGAGCTAGGCTTCGGCCTAAAGTTGAATGGCTTGATTCATTCACTTGGTTGGACTGAGGCCAGGCCCATCTGGATCCCACCCAATAGCTACGTATCGAGTCTCACCTGAGTCGACTCTCGCGTTGGTTAGTGTACGCTGTAAAAAACTCCATGGAAGGGAAGTTGCTGTGCTTTCATTTCCATTACTAAAAGAGAGACTTATCACTTGACAGTAGAGCAGAAAGAGCAATTGGGGTTGAGTCCAGCCTCTAAAACGCAGCGTTCTGATCTTCTCTCTCCTATGCACTCCTTCATCTGAGAAAGTAACCTCTCCTTAAACCTTATTCAGGTACTCTCTCTCTCTCTCCCTCTGTTATCTGTGTGTGTAATTGTACATGTATAGGTTAAGGCAGATAGGGTTTTCTCTTCTTGAAGAACATTTTATTTGAGTGTTGAGAAAGCTGAGGAAAAGAATGGAAAAGAAAATGGAATTATTGGGGTTTATTAAATGGCCCTATTTTTTCTTCTTTTTTTTTTCTTTCCATTTTTAGAGTTAAAGAAGTTCTTTGAATTAAGCTCAGACCTTTGCAGTTCCCTTCAATTCCGTGATTTTGGAACTTTTATTTGAGGGATTTTCTCTTTCTTTGATTCTTTTTGGTAGTAGGGGGTATTTAGATTGTAAAATAATCATCACTTCCAGTCCCATTCATAATATAAGTGCCCCAGTCATCTACCCATTTGAACTGTTTGGTCTTTCCATGGGAATGGAGAACAGGATGACTGCAAAGGTTGACGCTGCATCTTCAGTTGAACCTCACAGTGTTGAGATGTCTGGGGCAACTATTTCATCTACACCATCAACTGGTACTCAAAAGGTCTCTATCTTTGCTGCTAAGTCTGGATTTGTTATACCAAAAAACAAGCTGTCGGGCTCACTTGTACCCATCTTCCGTGGAAGTAAAAACCTAGGAGCCAGTGATGCAGTTAGTGGAGAAAGTAAGAAACAGATTCAGAGGAAAACAAAATGGGGCCCTGATCTGACCCAAGATGCTTCCGTGAGAAAGGGAAGAGCCTTAGCTTATCAGGTATTGTTTGGATTGTTTGCAAGTGCTGTTCTTGTCATCCTTCTTGCGATGCTATATTATTTCCATAGTGCTATGATCAAATTATGTTCCTGATTTATGTACCCTTTTCCTACTTTACCTTTTTTATGTTTGTACAATTTCAAACTTCTCTAATTGCCTCCTCCCATCCTAAATATATTTAAGACTTTCAAATTTATGGTTTGAGGCTCTTGTTGCCCCAGTTGTGGGAGGATTAAATATTGCTCTTCTAGTGGCAATTCATGGTTTCCCTTTTCCATTGGGTAATAAAATACTGGTCCGTGTCTTCTGTGTGAATGGTTCACATGGAAACCTCCCATTCCAGGTGCCACTAAGTGATATTACTGCCTGTTTGGTGGTACAAATTTTGAGCAGACTCGGGTGGATCAAATTACACAACAGCTGAAATCTGGAATGTCAGCGGCTGAGAATGATGAGGACTTACCATCAGCACCTCAAGATCCACACCACAACTCCTCTAGGCATCAAATTGACAGAGAGGTAGAATTTGATTTCACCTTCCCTTACAGTTGCCTATCATTTTCTGTCATTGATTTGTTGGGCGCTCTATGTTTCTACATTGAATGATGTTTCAATTCTTAAGCACTGATAGTAATGTTTGTTGATGTAGGACGTAGAACAGTTGGAACTTGAAAAGCGAGAAGCCATAGGTGTGTTTGACAGCTTTCTTAGATTATACCTTCCTGTGTGTTATGTTGTGCATTGCATGCTTATTGTCTTCTTGATGATATTCAGGTGAAATATTAAAGTTGAATCAAAGTTACAAAGCCCCATCTGATTATAAACCTTTGTTGAAAGAGGCCACAGTTCCTATTCCTGTAAGTTTATGTTCTTGTTCTGCAATATATGCAACACTTTTCTAATTAACTGTTTCCTCAAGCTGTATCCAAACTGCTGAGAGAGTATGTGGTATTTTTTTATCAAGGTGTGTGAATGTTCTCAATCTTAGTTGTACTGATTAAAAAAAGAACTTACCAAAAACAAGCCATGTATGTGGAATTTTAATCTGGACTCATAAGCTGTAGTGTGATCTTGCATGTTCTTGTAAAGAAAGACTTCTACAATGATAAAGTATGGAACTTGAAATCTGACAGGTTGGCTATAATTTGGGGTTTGAGGGGTAAACAATAGGTCACAGAGTAATCTTCCTATATTTGGGGGAAGTCTCCTATTTTTATTTTATGTTGAAGAAGCGGTTAGGTGCCTTGGCCCAAAAAGGGGCTGCACTTTTGTTCCACGGGGTCTGGGGTTTGCTGTTGTCGAGGGCCCTGGGGGTACTTCTTAGTAGTGCGTTACTACAAAGATTTAGAAAAGACGATTGCCTGTGACTTAAATTGATATGCGAATCCTAGTTTAAGTTATGTGGTTAAAAAAAGGGTCAAATAGATGACTGCAAGTGGCTGAGATGAGCTTTGTTGAGTCAAGCTGTTTTTTTTTTTGGGGTCTAATGGCTGGGCTACAGAATAGTGGCTCTCTCTACTTCTAGACCCTTCACCACATTTTCTCTTCCACTTCATCAGAAATCAAACTAGGTGTGTGCTCTCTCTAATTGAAAGGAAGAGCTACACTTGATCACAATAACTGGTAATGAATTGAGGATGATTGTACTACAGGAACATCTTGATTCTTGAGTGACCAAAAGAAAGACAGTAAGGCATATATATTTATTGCAACTTATGGGCACAGTATCGATTAATCTGGTGGAATGGTTTAGATTTAATCAGTTAAGCATATTTAGTTTCTTCTTCTTTTTTTCTTTTTCTTTTTTAAATTTTGGATTTTGGTGTTAGTTTGGAATCTGGAGAATGTTGATCGTAAATTCTCTTAAATAATTACAGAGTTATTTGCTTGTTTATAAAACTTTTTGCACCAAGAGACCAGGTAGTAGACAGCTCGAGTCAGCATATATGGTCTAAATTTCATGGTTTTCTGAGTCAGCAAGTATTAGTTCTGATGTTTAGATGTGGTTAAATGCTTTTCAGGTGAAAGAATATCCTAGATACAATTTTGTTGGCCTAATATATGGTCCTGGAAGTGATAATCAGAAGCAATTAGAAAAGGTAAGAAGTTTGTGGCAATGCTTATGGGGTTTATGCCAAACACTTATGATTGCCATGTGCATGTGCTGATGGTCTTTGTGCCGTGTGTGTTTTCCCTATGTTATTTTTTGATCGATCAATGCAAATAAGGAAACTGGAGCCAAGATTCAAGTCTATGGTACCAAAGCAGGGACAGGAGAGAAGGTAAATTATTCAGTAAATATAGAACATTAAGGAATTCATGTCAAGATAAATGTCAGAGTTGTCATCACCATTTTACCCAATTTCATATTTTCATAAACATATTAATTTGCACAGAAAACATCTGTTATGTACTGGTTAC